TATATATATATATATAAGAAAAAATATGTTATCAAAAATATTTATATGGCGTCCGAACTGAAAACGTACATTACGTCTCCTGAAAGTCTTTCTGGAGCCGCCCCTACGCTCGATTCTGAGCTGTGCTCCTTGAGCTCAGAGATCCCCCCTTCCTTCGGTGACGTCATAACTACATAAAATATTGTCATCAAGCGGATATTAATGCCTGCATCCCGGCGGCAGCATGGGGTAGGGGAACAGGGATCGCGAGCCCGCTCTCCGAGTTTCATTTCTTCGTAGGGCGGCTTCTACCGAGGGGCCACACAATAATTCATTTAGCCATGTGACAATGGCGAGGCGTGGCATTTTTGCGTAGTCACTGCAAGATTTGTTGAATAGCCGTGCCTATCTTTCTAAAGTAAATAAGAGATACGGGATTCGAAATATTTTTCATATTGCGCTCGGTCTTTTAGACACTCAAGAAAAAGCTCATTTTTTCTGGTTTATTTCTCCGCATTCTTTTCAATAAATCTTCTGAACAACTTATCAGGGCTGGGGCCATATAAATATTTGTATTTGAAATACGTATTTTAAATACATTTAGTATTTGAAAAACTGTACTTTTGAGAATGTTTTTGAGGCACTAAATTAAATTCATACAATAGGATTATTTAAACACAGAAATATTAAAACAGGTGGCGTCATATGGTGTTTCAGAGCAAAGACGCTCACATTTCACCAAGGAGGTCCGGATTCGAATCCCGGACAATCTCATGAGAAATTTGTTAAAAAAAACAGTTTGGCTGCTTCACAATGGCCGCTCCAACCTCAGTGAAGTGTCCTAAACCCTACCCTAATCCTAATTCCTTCCCGATTCTGGCCGCAGAGTAGTGACGCAGGGGCGTGTAGTAGGAGGCGCGTACGCGGAGATGCTACATGGCGGTCCTCTTGACAACTGACTGCGTCGAGGCGTGACGGATATGACATATGAAATATTAATGGAGGATTAATCCGAAAGCGCAAAGCGCTCAACGCCTCTAAGGGGCTTGGAGACACGTTGCACCAATAGAAGACGCAACAAATAAAAAAATTCTTTAATAAAAATAAAAAGTGTGTATCTTATTTTTGTTTTCATTACCAAAATCGTGAAAAAATTAACCGATTTGTGAACAATATTGCATTTGTGAGTTAAAGTGCCTCAAATGACTTGAAATGCAGGTTGAAAAAGAGCTTCAAATTTCGCAATAACAGTAACGCTTAAATGACATTATCTTAAAAACTGCTCCAAATTGTGCAATTAAAATTGCCATTTATGACGAGATTTTACTCTTCTTTAATACTCTTAAAGTAATATTTCGGATTTATTTAATATTAGGAAACTTAAAAATTGTGAAAATATGAAAATGTATAAAAAAATAATTAAAAAAAAAATTAAAAAAAGTACTTTGGGCGACGATAGATGGCAAGACCGTAAAGCCAGTCCACACCAAGAAAATTAGAAAACTTTACTACGAGAAAGTCTGTGCCATTCTGTAGCATCACTAATTGATTTATGCCTTATGTAATCCAATTCTCTAACATATTTAAAATACAATGATTTAAAATACATTGCCAGTTTAACCGTCGTGAGAATGAACAGCGCGGGCTCAGATATTCGGCCAAAACATCATTCAAATTTTGAAGTCATTATTGTGAACTGTTTGGGCTAGAAACTGGAGAAGTGGGAATAATATTTCTTTAGCTGTAATATCGAATTAAATATTATCTTTATGTAACTTGTAAATGGTTTTATACGGGCGTGAATATTTCTTATCAAAATGATGGTAAAAACTCATTTTGTTTCAGATCCCTGCGCGATTCTTGGCACCTCGTTCGTTCCCTCACACTGGTACATTTCTCTTGCCACCCGACGTGGAACAGACAAATACGCCGTCACTACTCAACACCTCTTTGATCAGGGCCGGCTGTAAACGAAGGGACATGGTGACGTCACTAACTGCCATCTAATCAAAAATAATATACAAAACATATAGTTCACAGAAACATACTATTAAAAGGACTGCATTCTAAGTGGGGAACGAATGTTTAAAGTAGTCTGTTCCTAGGTGTTCGATATTGACCCACTGGTGTCAATTTGAACTCTCTTAGGAGTCGATAGTTTCAATTTTACAAAATTAACAGAAATTAATTGCATATTACTGAACATGTATTCAAGAATGCAAATTGTTCATTTAAAACCAGGCATAGATAAATTATTTTCCTGGTAATCATGTGCGCCCATCTCATTAAATTTATTATTCCATTTATGTTATTCTTTTTTCCATATTTTATTTTTATTATATATTATTATTATTATTATTATTATTATTATTATTATTATTATTATTATTATTATTATTGGCGTATAGGCCATTACTGACCACGCTACACGATTAACGTGTGTAATTCTTCCAGGATCAGCTTTTCAGCTGTATCCTTGGATTATCAAAAGGTTGTTACGCCTTTTAGTGTGAATTATGAGATGTTAGGATGATGATGATGATGATAGGTGAAGGGACAATCACAAATACGACCATGTCTACGCAGGACTTGAACCTGCAGCCTCCTCGGCACAGATGGCGGCTGCCGCAACCGTCTGCGCCACGGGGCTGACTTTATTACGCACTATTATTATATTTTATTATTTTTTCTAATAAAACTAGTGGTGCTAAAACTGCACGTACTTTCTCCCTCTCTGCGCAAAATTACGCGAAAAGTAATCAAGTTTTCGAACAATTATACATGACCTTATTTCAAACTCTTATCTTTAAGGGACGGATTTCATTAAGGAAAAAAAACAACTGTAATATGTTAGTTGCAGGAAGACTCCGAACAAAATTTTGAACTTTTGCAATTTTCGAAAAATCAGGGTTTTCAACGAACATGAAATCTGCACCATTATCTTACACTTCCTTCGCACTCTCATACAACAAAATTTAATCAAAAACAATGGAGCTATTTTTTGAAAATTTGGGAAATTACCCAGGGGCTTTATGTAAAGAACGCCCCAAAATTGAAATATCGAATTCTAATTCAAGAGGCTACGACATCAGCCAGATCGATTGAGAATATCAATTTTAGACAAAATCGGCTGAACGTTGTTCACAGACGGGCAGGTAGACAGACAGACGTTTTGCCGTCATTCGGATTTTTGGTGTCAAGGACCCACAAAACATGGATTCTAGCTACAATACGTAATGGGGGTTCTTTTCTTCTAAATTTAGCGACTAGATTTATCCCCTTTTTCGTTACCAGGGCCCTGTAATAAAGAGTTTTCTGCCGAAAATTTGCCGTTTTTCGCGTAGCATTACGTAAAAATTATAATATTTATTTTCGGTTTCTGTCTGAATATGATCATTTTTTCAAAATATTTATATTTTTTTTTATAAAGTGATTTTAATTTACATATTTTCCGAATTGGCATTTTTATTTCATAAGTCAAAAATATACAATAAAAACTTTTTTCCTCCAATTTTTTCTAGAACAAGTTTTTGTACTGAATGTGATAAATGATAATGTCATTTGAAGTTAAACTAGTGTCTGCAATAATCAAATTACGATGAAGGCCACGTTAAGACACAATTTTTACAGAATTTATTATGGAACTACATCAATACAGTCAACACAACATTTTGACTCTGTAATTTGGGACTTTACCAAGTAATCAAAAATCAAAGATTACATACAATGAATGAAAAAATAAGTAAGTGTTGAGTGTGAGTTACCCAAGTAGGAACTGAATCATTCAAAAATTAGTAGAGGCATTAATTATGTATATTATGTCTAATTCTCTGTAGGTATGTTGTTTACAGCTGTTGAAATTGAAATTTGATGAAGATTAGTAAGTTGAAGATTAGTATGTAATAAATTGAATAACTGATGTGTAGAGCTCCAAGAAAATATATTGTTCTGTAATTCACAAGGTCATGAATTTAAAAGAAATGATTTGTTCTCTTGTAAAGCAATACAACTTTTATTTGGGAAAACCAAAATCATGTACAAGGAGTTCTCTTTTCAAATTTCTCACACATTGGGAGAACAAGATTATAAAATCCAGAATGGAATTTGGATACTGGTTCCCACCTAATCCACCTGGAAGGCAGAAGACTGGAAGATGATATTATTTTGCCAACGAAATGTGGATCCTGAAAAAGAAAAAAATTACAAATTAGTCTCAAAATAATCATGAATTGTAATGCAGACCCTGATCTATGGAGTCCGGAACAAATAATTTATCCATTACAAAGAACACTGTAAATACAATGCCGAAGCATCTGCACCATCTCAATAATTCATGTCAATAATTATTCAAAACCTTCTGAAATGTGCTGCATTTAGGAATTTTCTCTGCAATTACTAACAAACTTACTGTTGAAACATTTCCCAAAAGAGGACCCACATATTTACTAAGATACATTACATTTACTGAAATAATATATCAAATTATAATAACTCTACTCAATAAGTTTTAACAAAAGATCATTCAAGAAAGCGATTGTTTGTGTTAGGACTCTCTCTCATGTTTTGATGTGAAATGATAATTTCAGAACTGTGGCCTTAGTGAAGCAAATATTTTTTTGAAAAGAAAATTTTGTAAGCCTGAAAAATTCAAGAACCTTCAAAACATGTTCATTCAATTACACTTAATGAAATTATTTTTATAATATACTATATTAATTTCCATGAGGAAATTCCAACTATGTTTAATATACATATATATGCACATGCATGCATGCATGCATGCATGCATGCACACACAATCACACACACACACACACCGACACATACGCAAGCAGACCCACACCAACACACTTATATTGAAAATTGCATTTGAATGGTGATGTTGATGATGCATAAATTATCAAAGCTTCTAATTGTGTGCCTACAAAGATTTTCAAAGACATTAATCATTGTAAGTTATTGTTTTGTAAATGCTGAGTAGAATTTAAGTTCCTTCATAATGAAGTGGTTGTTTATATACATTCACAGAGTCACATGAAAAAGAACAGAATATTAATTTTGTGAAAAAATTACTTAACCACATAAAGTCTAAAGGTAGGAGAACAAAGTCAAATGTACCCCCAAAAACTTTTTACTTTTTTAGGGCTTAACAAACAATGTTTTTCTTACAGTCTCAACATTAAATTTTCCTTAATGAAAATTACTTCCTTAAACAATATCGATGATTGATAGGGAAATCATCTTAAGAGCTAATTTTCTGAATTATTTTTACTGAATTGGAAAAATCTTACAGAGTTATAGCCAGGCAAAATTGCGTAATTGTCAAAATTAAGGTTGGAGGTTGGTAGGACAAACAATTTAATCTTACCAGCTGGCATATAAATAGTGCCCGATTTTACCATAAGTTAAAAACGTTGGCATATAAGATTATTTTTTCAGTTGTTGTTTTTTTATACGTATATTTGTTAATCGACTTTTTCTACTTCTTTCTACAAGAATAAATAATAGGTTATTTTAAGTTCAGTATCTATACACTGAAATTCTTTAGAATTGTAAAATGACTTCTCCTTAGTTTTGTGAAATGCTTACCATCAATGAATTCAACATGTCCTGCATGCCATTGAAGCACTATTACAGTAAAACTATACACAGAACAACTAGGATATTCATATAGATAAATATTTTAGTTAAAATTATTATAGTAATGAAGATTTTAAAACAAAATTATAAAAGAATGAAGAAAGTGAAGTTTTTGTCTCTTCTGTAAAATTTGCATTATGTTGGATAAGATATTTTGCACATCAACGATTGACTGGAATCAACCAACAAGAGAGTCTATTAATTGATGGGATATGAACCAGGGGCAGATTCAACCGATCGTTTTGGAAGGGACATTGTCGATTTTGTTAAATAAACATATTTGTTATTATATTTATATTATTCATATACTCTAGATATGATACTTTACAATATTATTGTTTAAATAATTACATAATTCAAACATAAATAAATATTTAAGTCAATTTTCCTATATAACGGAAAGAAAACGAAAACTCTTGGGCGTTGGGGGGAGAGGGGGGCATGACCCCATTCATGGATCCGCCAGCGATATAAACCAAATAAATCATGAGTCTCCACTAAAACATACGTTGGTAGTAAGCTACAACAAATAAATACATTAAAAGAGCTAATGAAATCAAAATGAAAAATGTATCAAAAACAAAAAGAGAAGCATGGATTGATTCTCTTAAGAATAATATGTGTGAAGGCAAAATTACACTTATTTAAGCCTAAACAATTGCTGTTTTTTCAAATCTACAACGAATTTGACAGCTTCTATAGAGAAGTTCAAATTATATTATATGCACTATATTTATTAAATTTACATTAGAAGAGACTCTTGTACATCTGAACGTTTTAATTAATTTTATATATAAATCACTGTAAGGGTCAAATATCTTCTTAACAAGTTTATATTAGAATGTTAGAGTCCCTTAGCCATACTTGACAATCTAACATGAACAACCACAACATGGCACTGACATGGCCTAAAAGTTGAAGTGTTTAAAGGTATAACAGTCTTCTCTACATTAAATGCATAATTTTTGTAAAGCAAAACTTTAATTGTATTTACAACTCACCACAACTAATAAATGTTCTTCACTTCTACAACAGGCAATTCCCATAATGCCTTTTGAACTATTATCTTCATCTCCTCCCATCATGATGGGACAACCATAAGTTTGAAAATGATTGTATAATTTCCCAGTGAAATTAAGCAATTCACTTCCGTGAGGAACATGCAAAATTTTGCAATCTATATCATAAAGCGTATTCAGAACCATAGAAACCTTTAAAAAAATTACAGAATTTGCAAATTAATTTATCATTTTGAATTATACAACGTACTAAATAATTACATTGTGAAAGTGGTTTGTATTCTTTCATTCTTAAGTAGTACATCATGAAAGTATTGAATTTCTCATTGATCAAAAATATTGTAATATTCATATTTTTTCTTTTAAAAATCCTGCCTTACTTCAACTGCTCCAATCCATTCACGGGATCCATAAAACTTTGAAGGTTTGTCTCCTATGTCAACTAATGTCTTCTGAATTGTTCTTATATCAGGAGGAGAAGAATTTATTTGTTTTGCATTAATAATCCATGAACATAGGGTTTGAAGGGTTCTGTATCCACATCCCCAACCCTACAACAAAACAGTAAGTCTTACATTCTAATACTTACAATAGAAAATATCAAAATTAAGTAGACCTATACAAAAATGTTTTACATTTTCATAAAAATTTTAAACACTTCTACTAACCACATCGTCAAGTCCATCACATTTATAATGGTAAAATTTGTAGGAACTTTTAACCAAGACATGTTTTTCAGTTTCTGGTAATAGTGGTAAAACTTCATGTACATCACTGAGTAATTCATACTGCTCTTGATCATTCATTTAGGCCTGAACAAATAAAAAAATATGGAAGTTGTTTTAAAAATAAAAAAGTTTTCTTAAAACAAAGAAGAAAAATGTTGCAATAAATTGTTTACATACTACTGATATCAATGTTGACAATACTTTATTTTGGAACCTCAAAGTCTTATGTGATTGCAACACCTTAGATTATACAACAATTCTCTTTTCCTTCAAATGTAAACTTTCTGACAGGTAAAAGATGGGCTACTTTGGAAGCTTGATCTCATAGCCTTCATCAGTAGTAGAGGTGTTTGAATAATCTGTCAACGGAAAACAGAAGAAAATTGCCTTATGCCTGTATTGGTAATTTCCAATCCTTGAAATGTCAGAAATGAATTGTTCCAAGTAGATTTATTCCATGAGAATTGAATTGTTTTGTCCCAACTCAGATGTAATATAATGAAAAACACTTTCTCATCAGAAGTTCAAAGAACTACTATGTTAATTTCATTCAGATATTGTAAGTCTAGGCCTACACTTCATAGTTATATAAATAATTTACTAACATGGAAATATGTGAAAGAAATATTTGGACTTTTAAAATTTTTTAAAAAATTATTTATTTTTATTTTTTTAACACCAATCTGTATTAGCCCATATCATACATTTTATCCATATTAATCAGGGGCAACCTGAGGGTACGTCAGCTGGGGCAACTTGCCGCAGGCCCCCACTTAAGTGGTGCCCTAGAAATTTATACAAAATGAATGTCCTTCAAAACATTTTTTTTAAAGAAAATATATAACTCTAGTTGAAATATGAATCACTTTAAAATATATTAAAAATTAATGATAATAATTAATAAGGGGTCCTCATGGATCTGCTGCTTAAAGCCCCAGGATGCCCCTGATGTGAATGCGTGTTACAGGAAAAAACAAGTTGCTTAGAGAATGAATTACTGAAACAGAAGAAGCAGAAGTATATTAAAATGTAAATAATAATTGAATAAGAAAGTGAATAAAACTTAAATATTCTACTAGCAAAATAATTAAAAATGGCAGTAGAGTTCATGACACAAGACAATAAGGAGACCAGGAAGGTATCTTTTATAGACACATTTACAAATACTAACTTCAACATTAGGAACCTGTACATTCCATAAAACAATATAATGAAATTTGAAATTTAGAAACTTATTAAGTAGAAGTAATACAATATGAGTGAAATTAATTGAACATTCTGTGAAAGAAACAAGTCATATTGGGATTGGTTATGATGCTCTGCAGGCCTGGAAACGGCAGTAAAAGGAATAAGAATAGAGGAGTAAGAAAGATGTAGCATGGTGGGAAAAGCCACTATGCTAATTATTTTCACCATGCTCTGTGGCTGATTGGCAAATTTCAGTTTTCACCCAACAATCCGTAGATGTTGCGTGAAATAAATTGATTAATGAATTTAGAACTATCCAAATAAACGTGCGCGACTTGTCACTTGTGGCAATCATGGGATTGGTCAGTTTTAAAACGATCAGCTACAATGCAATAGCGTTTTCATTATTAGTAGTATTGGAGTATATAAAGATCCCGGTGCTGAAATACCCTGCACTTTTTTATTTTTGCATTTCGTATTTACCTTTCGGTGATTAATTAACAGCTGTTGAGCTCACATGTAGTGGTGTATAACGTTATAAGAGTTGTGCAATTTGCTTGTATATCACGGCAACGTACGGTATGTGTCAGTCTGATATCAGTTCTAAAATTTAAATGCCAAACCCATGATTTTTACAAATTCATCATATTGTGTTTGCCACGTGATTGAAATCAGCAGAAAAAGCATTTATAAACAGAAACAAACTGAGCGTACAATGGATTGCCCTTCGATAGAGCTACGTAAACTTGCATTCTGACAACAAATTATTGTCATTAAGATAATTTATACCTTGGTTATACCTTGCATTGCCTTGAATGTGACCGTGTGTGACTGACGTTTTGGGGATTCGTCGTAGTTTGCAGTCTTGTAAAGAGAAAAACTGTTTGCGATTCACATTTTTTTCCATACTAGCAATGATGACAGTTTTCAAATTTTATTCAATATTTAATAGTTCTGAAGACTGCGAATTCGTTGACTTACTCCCTTGTTTCTGCACTATTTACATGCCTCCCCTGTGATAATGTGTGAATATCATTGTCATCATTGTATATCCGATGTGTTTGCAAATGATACCAGAGTAGTTAACTCGCGTAATTGTTATGAATGCTTGAACTGCAGTTTAGAATTACTAATTTTCATTTACATTAGATTTTTTCTTAGACAAGAAAGACTGAAGTTGATTATGCAAAGCTAATGAATGTGGTTTGGCTGAATTGTGAATTGCTTGTAATGTCTTGCTGATAAGGAGTTGGAAAAATTTAATCATCTTGTTTAGAATATTTGAATCATGAAGTGATTTCCAAATATTTCATCAATATTTTAGCCATTTATGTTACTCCTATGAAGGCTATTGGTTTGCTATAGGCATCATGTGTCGTAGGCCTACTATTCATTTCATTGTTTATAAATTTTGTTCACAGCATCATAATTTTGGTGGAAATTTGGTAAATGTTTTGTAGAGAAAGTGGTGAACAAAACTAGAACTCTTTTTTAATTAAATTAAAAATGAAATTTTTCACATTTTTGTATTGTTGATTTGATTTGTTCTGAAGTTTTATGATCACTTTGAACTGAAGAATTACAAATATACTTGAATTAATTTGGAGTTGTGTTTGAAATAAATCAGCAGTTGACAGTTTCATCCAATCGAGAGCTTGGACGTCACCATAGCGGCGTCACTGATTGGATGAAATGGTCAAGTTATACTTTATTCATCTGAGAGATAGGTAGTATATAATATAGATAAATTACATGTAATTTTCTGAAAACTTAATTTTGTCATTGAGTTGTATGTCCATCAGTTTGGAACAACTGAGGATGTGATATCGAACAGCAATATGTTCATGGCATTGTAGGCAAACCCATAGTTCATTTAGATTGTAATAGTTCTTTTGTCAGCAAAGAAGGAAATGAAACCCATGGCATGTTGATAGTGTTACAATATTTCTGTAATGTTCATTTTCCTGCATCCATTTTGAGCTGTTGGAGGTTGGCCCGTCCATGTAGTTCTGGTAAACAAAGTTTATATGTACCTCTTCTGAATTAGACAGGTACTCCTTTAGCATTTTTGAATTGAAGCTCTACTCCGATGAGATGCTTTTACAAAAGAACTCGACATTGAACATATGTGGGAAAGAGTTGCAGAGCTTTTAGTGGGAGCTGCCAAATACCTTTGAGATAAAGACTTTTGACTTAATTAATTACATGTGGGTTTTGTGCTGTTAAATGTTGACTTATTGATTTTCAGTCCATAGCATATAATTGGTTTGATTTTTAAATTGAAAATCTTCATTGCAGTTGGTTTTTGTGAACCGTTGTAGGTTTTTCAGATGGTTAAAATACACTGAGGCTATAGATTTACATTGCTTAAAATGTTCTTCAAAACCTAATTTAGTTTGCAAGCTGATTCTAAATATGAAAAACTGTTAATGACTCCTACATTCTCATTATTGATAATGAATTAATCTTCTTTTACAATCTGCCACCTTTCCTAAAACCAAGTATTTAGCACATTTTTCTATTAATCATGCTTTTATTTGTCATGCACCATTCTTCAAGTTGTGTGAGGCTTTAAAGTTAGGCTGGCTGCTGTAGCATTCATGATTGCCATATCATCTGCATATAGAAGTGTGTTGTTTGAATTGATGTACTTCACACTATCATTTATAAAGGCTAAGAAGAGAACTTTATTAAGTGTATCCCCTTGGAAAATGCCTTCCTTTCGACAAAAATACGAGGTTGATTGTCAACCATCTGTTATGTTAACACTGTTACAATTGATCAAATCAACAATAACATTTAAAACATTTCCATTAACATTTAATTTTATTGAAAGCTTTTCACTTTGAATGTTATAATTGACGGAGACCAAGGCTTTTTCAAAGTCAATAAATGCAATGTAGTCTTCAGTCTTTTTCCCTGAGGTATTAAAATTGTTTTGAACTCTTGTTTGTTATGATTCTATGGCATATAACACTTATTTCCACATTCGGAAGTCAAAATGAAGAATGTTCTTCCTAGATCATGTACCAAGACCTTTCTTGTTCACTTGAGAAGCTCAAATTGTCTTTTCTCCCATGTTAAAGTCATCAAGATGCAGTATCAATTTAGGATTTTAGAAATGTATATTTGTAAATCCACTAAATTTTAATTTGACAATGACAGGAAAGGCCTCTGTCCTCCTTATAATGCAAGTATTGTGTAATGAGGTGATTAAACATTGTAAACAGATACAGAATATGTCAAAAAAATGTATACACACTTCAAGTAAATAAAAAAACTGTCTTAACATAAAGCTGAATTCAGACAAATAGAAAATGAGCACAGTCATTGTAGACTGGTACAACCGTTACAAGAATGCTCCAAATGCCCTCTATAGACATCGTTACAGTTCTGAGTAGTTAAAGTATACTGTTCAAGAAACATTTGCAAAAAGTGTCCTCAGCGATATCATGTCAATTTATTTCCACGGTATCTGTTTTTATGGTTTTCGTTATTGCTAAGACTTGCCCATATGTAGAAATCCAATGGAGTTAGATCTGGAGAATGTGCTGGAAACTGTCAGATCACTTCATCCTATTCAGTGCCATGGAATATTGTCTTCAAGGTACGAACATACATCTTAGTGGTAATGTGGCAGTGCACTCTCTGACAATTTTGACAATCGTGACAATTTTCCGGTGCACTGAACATGACGAAGAGGTCCGATTGAGTCCACTGCGTTTTCCAGATCTAATCTAATCCATTCTTTTTTTAAGGAACATGAACTGGCAAAGTGTACGTGGCCATTATATGCACGTCCACACACTGTGGAAATAAGGAATTTTAGTTCCAAAAGGATGGTCCATCGCAACATTACCACTGAAATGTATGCGAGTACCATGGCGACAATCTTTCAGGGCTCTGGAGAGGACAAAGAGTTCCGATGTTTCCAGCTCCAGATCTAACTCCTTTGGACTTCTACCTATGGGTAAGTATTAAGAATGATGTGAACTATAGAAAAGAAGCTCTATATTTAAGCAAAAAAAGGAACAGTTTCTAAAAGTACATTTTGTTCCTTCCATTGACATAATTATGGTAAAAAGTGCTATCTTTAATAAGGCATTATACCAAAAAAAAAAAAAATTGTTTATCTTGCCAAAATATACATATTGAGGCAAATAATATGATGGAGTAATTTTTGAAAAAATGTAATTTGCATGTAATTTCTGTTTGAAATTAATCCAATTTTTAAAAAAGCACATTTTCTCAAAAAACACTCTAAATTTTTCCATCAATAATACAAAGGGTGCTTAAAAGAATGGTCTTCTTTTCATTGAAATCTCTGAATTTTAGAAAATTGTAAATTTAGAAATGAAGCAAGAAAGTATGTACTATTGCAGCATCACTAGTTTGATCAACTGTTTGCTAGACTCCAGCTTATGAATCCTGGTTCACAGTATTAGTTTTTGGATAACCATTGTACTAAAGAGTTTTCAGGGGCATTTCTCCCCAATATTATTCCGTATTTTAAATGTGAATGCACATTTGCAAAATACACTGTCCGAAGGGTCTCAATAATAATGCGTGACTCAAGAATATATAGAGCAAGATTTGGTAAGCTTCTTGTTAAGACCTGAGATATAAACATTCCACTAGAGATTTTCTTGGGTTGTTAGACTGAGGAAGGTAATTTTGTGAAATATAGTGTCAGGGTGAGCCAATGCTGTGAGAATTTTTCTTGGATCAGGCGTAAATTAAAAATTTAGGATCCCTACCATTACTACTTTTGTTAGAAGTACATGATGAGTAATACAAATCTAAGAAAAGGCCAATGGGAATTTCCTTCTGGTTTAGGGCAACAATGACATTTATAAAGCAGAGGATAGATGTGTCTGTGAAACAATACTAGAGTCCAAACTTTTGTGTAATTACATATTTTTTGCCTTTCTATATTCTGTTCTCAAAATTATGATCTTGGTAAATATTTCATTACAGATTTTGTACTATGTTAATAATAATAATTATTATTATTATTATTATTATTATTATTATTATTATATTTATTGAGTCACATATATACAATTACAATCGTGTATGATGAGTCAATATGATGCCTTGGGTGGAGAGAGCGAAGTTATATTTACTGTTCAGGAGCAAACAAGGGGCCATCTCAGCATTTGCTCAAAGGATCAGGGAAACTGAACAAAACCTGATCAAGATGGGGTCATTGGCCTAGAAATACAATACTTGTTACAGTTTAGATTAAGATATTATACAGTAGATAAATTTCTGCTAATAATTAACATTTTTTCAATATGATATTTTAATGCTACTACATTATAATAATACATTAATAATACATATCAATATGAATACATAATTAAATACTAGTAATTTATATTATAACTTGAAATGTAGCATCTTGATTCAGTTTTTTCATTTCTGATGTGATATGCAGTTCTTTTCTTTTGCTTCAGCTTGAAACAGTTCACATGAAACAGAAAGTCTAATGGAATAAGAATTCTTATTTATTTATATTTTTTAAGGGAAATGTAATTTGAAAATTCCTTTACACTGTAGAACATGTTGTTAAGCAGGAAAGCTTTCAATTTACTTTTAAATGTATGAATTGTGTTTATGTCTTATATCATTGCTTAGATTGTTGTAGTGTAATGCCCTCTATTAGGGTACTTTTTTGAGAAAGGTAGTTTCAGAGTGGGGAACGTGTAGGTTATCCTTTTGACGGTGTTGTAGTTATGTACATCAGAATTTAAAGAAAAGGTCTTTGTTTTTCCATGAGAATTTTCTTTGTGAAGACCACTATTTCAAATATGTACATGCATGGTAGAGGAAGAATCCTTAGTTTATTAAACAAGGGTTTGCAAGACTCCAGCTTTATGAGTGCTGGTCATTGTTCGCAGTATTCTTTTTTGGATAATGAATGTACGAGTGCTTTCAGGGGCATTTCCCCAGAATATTATTCCATATTTTAGGTGTGAGTGCACATTTGCAAAATACATAGTTCGTGAAGTGTCTCCAATGTTGGAGCTTGACCTGAGGGTGTATAGGTCATAGCAAGATTTGCTGAGCTTCTTGTTAAGATTTGAGATGTGAGTGTTCCATTTTAGGTTTTTCTTGAATTGTTTAGTCCAAGGAAGGTATTTTCATGAGATATCGTTACAGGGTTATTGTTTATGAGCAATGCTGTGAGAGTTTTTCTTTAGATCGAGGATTCATGAAATTTAGAGAGACTGTCTGCTCGTTGTTTATGATGAGTTTGTTGTCTTGAAACCATTTTACTAGTGCTTGCAAAGTTTTGTGAGTTTCTTTTTCTAATGATTGTTGTGTTTTTGCTTTGATGATGATGTTGTGTCATCTGAAACAAAATTATTTTGTTGTTCCTTAAAGCCAAAGGCATGTCGATTTATGTATATAAGGAATAGTATTGGCCCAAGGATGGATCCTTGCGGGGACTCCACAATTTATTATTGAGGACAGGAGTAGTATGAGAGATTTTGTTTTCTTTAGTGTGTTGTGAGGGCAACTATTTTGTCTACGGTTTGATAAATATGTTTTGATCCATTGGCTGCAATGCCTCGAATCCCTAGCATTTCTAGTTTTCTTAAAAGTATATGATGGTCAATGATGTCAAAGGCTTTTGACAAATCTAAGAAAAGGCCAATGGGATTTCTTCTGATTTAGTGCAACAAGTTATGTCATTTAAAAAGGAGAGAATGTGTGTCTGTGGATCTATTACTCCCTGAAGCCATGTTGTGCATTTGTAGACATTATTTGCATTGAGAAACTGTTTGAGTCTATCATTGAAAAGTCGTTCCAGAATTTTTGAAAATTTTTGTTACATGTTTTACACATTTGTGAAAAGCATTTATACATTTTTTAATTTTTTTTTATAAAAAGGCATGTTTTTTCTTCCTTGTATTTGGAATTGCACGTGAAGATGCAAGATATCCCACCATGAATATGCGGTCACATGTCTGCACTGCAATGTTGCAGCCAGTGGACATGTGCACTGAATTATCTTTAGGTATAGAAGTATCACTGCCATTATGGTTCCTATTCTTCAATCCCAGTTTACGAGAGATATTGTTTGTCGCAGATTTGGTTTAATAAATATTTTATTAATGTAATTTAAAATTGTGTAAATTTACTTTGTAAATGTCCTACAAATTAGAGCATACTTTGATATTACATATTATATACCTTTCTATATATTAGTTACATATTCTTTTAATTTTTATTACATATTTTGCCATTTCATACTGCATATTTTTCTGAACTCCTGAAGCCATGATGTGCCTTTGTGAGGTCATTATTTTCTTTGAGAAACTGTTTAAGTCTATCATTGAAAAGCCTTTTCAGAATTTTTGAAAATCCTGATAGCAGGGAGGTAGGTCTGTAGATCATTGGATCGTTACTATTGCCATCTTTAAACACCTTTTTGATTTAATTTTTACTGTTTTGAATAGTGGGAAGACACCTATTCTTAAGCAGTACTTGCAAATATGAGAGAATGGTTGCTCTATGTATGAAGTACATTCTTTGATAAGAAAATTTGGATTATTGTTCATTTGTTGAAAAATTTTAAAATGTCAGAGGTTTCATATAAAAATATGTAATTGACGATTTGTGCTTAGTGTTTGTTGTATTGTATTGTATAGAGAGTGGTGAGGTTAATTTTTCATAATTTTGTGAAAAGTGTTCATTGAAGGTGTCTGCTATTTTTGTGGGTCGTGTGAAGTAGTTGTTCTATATTTTCCTGTTATTACGAGTTGGTGCTATAGTATTTTTAATAATGACCTGCATAGCTTTTGTTTTGTTATGTGCATGCAATGTTGTGTTGTGGGATTTTATGGTTAATTGATTAAATTTTCTTTGACTGATGCAGGCAATAATGTCAATGAGAAATATAATTTATTCTTAAATAAATTAAATCAGCACTTACATTATGTAAATATTATTGCAAAACAAACAACTGTAATGAAAAAAACAAAAATTGAACTACCTAAAGAGATTAGTTATAAATAAAATAAAAAAAACCTGTATGTTCTATTCAGAAATACTAAGAATTACTGTTATGATAAATAATACAAAACGTTTTAAGAAACTTACAGCCCAGACTTCAGGAACACTAATGTGAATCAATCAAATAGTAAAAGAAAAAAACATATTCAAAAACAACCATCTATAACTTGGAACATTATTAATAGTGTAAAAACTTGGCCCCCAAAAAACATTCATATGAATGTTTGGTCCTTGATAATTCTTCTGATATTTGTGGGACTTGTAACAATCACACATTCAACTCAAGCATAACACATGTAATAGGAATACTAACAAAGTAGTGGCATCATTAGTGTGTGTGTGTGTGGGGGGGGGGAGATGAGCCCACCCTGAGTGACAACCAATCACAGTTTATCTATTTTTCTTTCTTTAAATAATACCTTCATTCATTCTTTTTATTTATGTATTTTCAATTTAGAAAATCCAAGATTCTGAAAACAGTTTTGGCCTATAAATATATAAAAACCAAACAAACATTCACACTCTGCCCAACATTTTTTCAACCTAAAACTGTTTGACATTTCTCTGCTACCTATTTATTTGGAGAGTGATAAGTTTATTCATGGCAAGTTTTAATCCTGTAAAATTGATTCAGTTCTGTTCATTCAGAGTCATCATGACCCACAAACCATCATATAAGAGAGCACTTGAGAGGGACACCTATCACACTTGCTGATCTTGACAACCTCTCAAGAAAATATTTTACTCAGCATGGTCTCCACATGAAGCAGATAGGTACACAAAAACTAGGAGCCATGCTCGTCTCGCACCTATTGGGAACACCTGCCCCTGCCACCCCATCCATCTCTCACCCATTCTCCCTCCTCTCCAACCCTCTTATCCACTCGACATCTTTCACCAGCATCCGTCCTCTCTTGTCCCCACCAGTTCCTTCTCCTACTCCTACACCTCTCCTGCCCACTCCACTTCTTCCAACCTACTCCTCACCTTTCTTATATCCTTTGAAGCCCCTTAACCTACTTCCACACTTCCTACTCCCTGTCCCATCCGTACATACAACTTCCATTGCAACCGAAAACTCACACCTGTGTATAACCTGTAGCATCAAACATCAGCAAGAAAGGAGACAATATAGAAAAATTAAACTATTTTCATATTCTTCACCAAAATGTAGTCACTGAAAAATAAACTCACTGATATAGAAATATTACACGAGGAGAAACTCAACCACATTTCAATATTGTGCTTCTCAGATCACTGGCTGACTAAAGAACAATTAGATAACATCCCAGGTTTCTCTCTAGCCTGCAGCTCATGTCAAAATATTAACAACTCACATCATGCATATGGCTTGGGCTTTGTATCGAACCCTAGAGTCTACATGTGCAAACATTCCAGTGGCCTCGAGCTCATTGTAGTTAATTTACTTCAACTGTATGATGCTTTCAACACCATGTAAAATCTGTTTTCACATTTAGGTGAGGGTCTCTAATGGCTTTAATTTCATTCTTGTGTTTTAAATTTTTAAATATTGATTTCTATAATTTAGAATATATTTTAAATGTTTTAACCATTGTATTTTAATTGGCCGGTTTTGCCGACCCTCCGGCGACGACGAACTAAGCGACCGCAGCAGGTAAAACACAGCAACCGGCGGCCGCAGTGGGAAGTCCACCATTTAAAGCCGTGTTCTGCTAGCGGTGGCGCGTACGCCCTCCTCGGCTTCGCGTAGCGAGAGTCCTCCGCCGCTTGCCGCAGCAGCGCACGCCCACTGCACGTGGGAAGGTGTCCATTCTAAACCAATGCTCTGCGATGCTCTGCTAAGAGCCGCGGTGCTCGGAAGCGCGCTGCGGTGGCGGCGTGTGAAGGGGCCCTTGGGCTTCCCGCTCGCACTGCGCGCGCGTGAATTAACGTTTTCCTTGGTTCCCGCCGGGCGCGCTACTTACACACAGATCCGGCAGTGGGGGGATGGCGTCAACGCAACGCGACACAGCGCAGCACATAACCCACCACACCACAGCGGCTCTACGGAGCATGCGCTCCGCCCCCTCCAGCTGCCCGCGCTAAACCAGGGCATAACCTACCCCACCAGAGCGGTACCACGGCGCATGCGCCACAGCGGCGCCCCCTACTGCCCGTGCTAAGGGTAGAAACACACAGGACTCAGCGCGGCAAGAACAATTTCTTGGCACGACGGCCTCCTCGCCAAACACATCTCAGCCAACTTCCCCTCCTACATCACACACCTTATTCACTCCTTTCTCGCGAACAGATCGTTTCAAGTGACTGTTCTGAACGCAAAATCCTCCTCTCGCAGCATACGGACAGGCGTGCCTCAAGGGAGCATAATCTCCCCAGTGCTCTACTGCCTGTACGTGCACGATATGCTAACTTCCACCCAGACCGAGCTCGCCATGTACGCAGACGACACGGCAGTAATTGCCACGTCCAAAAGAATCGACCCAGAGAGTATATATCAGAGATGGCAGTCAACCTGCTCGTTAAATATTTGGATCAACGTTTGTTACTGATCCAGGAGTGGCTGCAGCGCTGGCGCGTCAAAGTCGACGTGGAAGAGAGCACGGCAGTGCTCTTCACACGCAGATATAACTACGACCAGCCGCGGCCACTCGCGCTATGCAAATCAAACACTGAATGGCGCGCCAGTACAAAGTACCTCGGCATCACGCTCGACCGCGCTCTAACTTTCTGCTGCTGGTGGGTTGGCGGCGGCGTGAAACGCGGCAAGGCTCTCAGGTGCAATCGAAACCGAGATACTGTAGATCGAAAAGACTAAGGCGCCTCGGTCTGAAAAGGTGCAGGCTCGTTTCCGTTGAACGCCATAGCCGTTCTCCATTACTGAAAATGGGAACGGCACCTTTGCTCTTTCCGAAGGAAGTAACTGCTCTGATAAAAGGAGTACCAAGTCCTTAAATGCTGATGAATGCGAATTTTTAAAGTCCCGCATGCGGGATTTCGAAAAATGTCCAAGTCCCGAGAGAAAATATTCAGTCCCCGAGAGAAGATGCTAGAAATATTTTCAAGTCCGAAAACGAATTTTCGAACTTTCGAATATTCAGTGCAGTGTAGTGGCGGCGGAGGCTGCACAACAAGCAGCGAGCGGATCAGGAGCTCTGATGTTTACTGGTCAGCGTAAGCAGTCAGAATGAGAGACTGATGTGTCAGCGGAGCGTTTTTTATACGTGTCTATAAGTTCGTGCGAATGTAAAAAAACAAACTCTGAACCCCCAACTCGAAGATTTTCGACAGTAGAAGGAGATGGGTCTCGAGTGGATTGGTCGAGCCCCCCACTCTATGCGAGTTAGTAATCAAAATACCACCACCGCTAACCCTTATGGACGTAGATAGACATAATGTGTTCTGATTGGATGTCCTACTTCTCTCCCTTTCTTTGCATTTCAATTGGCCAGACCCCCCCCCCCCCCCAACTCTAGGTTTTCGACAGTGGAAGGGTGGGAGTCTTTGAACTTATATGAAAACTCATGTAATTCGTACCTCGTGAGCATATGTTGATAGATCATATCAAAAATATAGTTATATTTTTTTATGAAAATGCAGCTGACTCGGAAAACCCTCTCATTTCCGAAATCACCTCATATCAACCGGATCAACGGGCCAAGTATAAGCGACCGAAACAGTTCCTGGAGTAAGAGTAATATGAAACAGAAATGAGACTTGAAACATAAACTTAGTAATTCTACACACGCAATGCTCGCGCCAGTAGGCTAGTCATTTTTGACCTTCTGTTTTTATGTTGCAGGATTGGCCATAGATGTCCATAAGGGTAGGAATGGTCTCACCGCTGTGGCGTGAACCAACACCTAGATATACAAGGCCTTAGCTGTCATTCAAGATGGCCGCCTAAGAAGACAATACAAACAAATGCCAAGTAAAAGTGAGATCACCAGACGAAGATAATATAGTTCTGCACAAACCAAGAGACTGCATTTTTCATGTTCTCTGTTAAGTTGTTCGAATTTGAATATGCTTTTCTTATTTTTCCACTGACAATACATATCTAATTTCTGAAATATTCCACTTTTGTAATAATATAGTGCAATGAACAAAGCTTAAGGATTTTTTTCTTTTGCCAAACTTTCGTTTTGCTTCAGAGATAAAACAAATACCTTCCACTAAATATTTTTTATTAGATCTGATAAAATGAAATACTATGGAATACTTACCATTTGGAAAATTGATTTTCATGAAATTATATATTTCACATTAAATTATATTAAATAAATTATGAAAAAAAGACTTCAAAGAAACATTACACAAAGTACAAAAATAGCTTCCAAAATAGTATTTATGGCACACCCGGGTCAAAACTTTCCAAAAATTAAAAATTAAACAAATAAGATGATACACAGTACTTCACCGAACATTTATTAATATGAACATGAAATTCAGACATTGGCAGAAAACAAAATTTTATCTACTTATATTAATTAGATCACATAACATATTTATGTCCCACTTGAAAAAATACACTTCTTTATTTTCTTAATGCAAGAATTTGACAATGGGTTTTTCTTTTTACAATAATTATTTTAAAAAATGTTACATGCTACCCAAATCAACCTTTGGCATAAATTTTCTGCACTGTGACCATTAGTACATACATGAGGTTCCCATAAAAGTTCTAAATACAGATACTGAATTCATTATTACTTTACGTGCCATTTTTCTTTGATCCTTAATTTTAAGGAATTCAGCTTCAAAATCAGTACACAGTTTAGTCAAAATTAAGTAACTGTGAATTATAATATTTACAACAGGAATTTGATGATATAACAGTTGGCCTCTGCTCTTGTTTAAAACGAGCTTAAGACTCATCTTCACTATTAAGATATTCCTCTAACACAATTACTTCCTTACAGGAAATTCATTTCATTTTCTTCAATACAGTATGGCAGCATTATTCAGAGATGTACACCAAGACTGGAAGGTCTTTATTACATGATAAAATATCATTTTTAGATATTTCAAGGCTAGTAAATATGTTTTCTTATTCATCACTTTCATACACTGGCAAATTTGTCTCCATAAGTCATTAATTTCTACAGTACCAAATATCTTGGATTCTAATTTTACAGAAACTGTGGACTGAATTCTAAGTTTTTGTTCTATTTCATACATTTGCCTTAAAGCTAATATTGTATTGTCCACCAGCCAATTGCCTACAGTACCCAAATCTACATTCCAATATGTCTGTTTGAGATTTGCTAGGTACAAAATATTTAAATTTAAACCTATATGTGCAATATTCATACAAATATATTATTCCTTCTGTTGTAAGTGTTATCACATTCATGGTTTCAGAAGTCAGGGAACCTGAAAGATGCATATCTTTCCATCAATGTAACCATCTAAGAAACTTGGACAAATACTGCAAACTTTCTTGATTTTGAGGAGACAAAGGGTTCATAAAAAGGTTATTAAGTTTTCTACCTTCTCCCGGAGTCTTGATATTTACAATCCACCACCACTTCAAAATTATTTGAATGAAATTGGACATTTCAAGAAAATGAGAAACCATGAACTATACTGATACGCACTTCTTTTCTTTGTAAGGAGTTAAATTTATTCCAGCATAATAGCAACAGGTTTCTCAAATTCTGAATTTATGGCATCTATTTCAAGTAACAGGTCTGAAACTAAATCTAAAATATCATGAAGACTATTACTACTTCTACTTCTACTACTTGTGTCAAAACATAACATTAACCTCACTTTCTCCACAACATCATTAATTTTATTTAAATTACAAACACTATTTATTATTGTTGTGCCTCCGACTTTAAACACACTTTTGCCACAATAATGCCAAGTTTCAATTCTTTATTGACTTCAACTGAATTAATTATTTTAGGAGCAAAATTATAATCAACATGTACAAAAATAACTCTTGTCTTCCTTCTTAATAATAGACCAATAATCATCCAAAGTAAGCAAGTTCAGTTTGCTTTTTAGTTCATCGAAAGTTCTAAATGATATTTCATTTATTCTTGCAATTTTTCTTTTGCACTTTCGTCAACAGTTGCAAGAAGGTATTCATTTTCTAAACGTAATATCTTTTCTTCCAATCTTTTTCTAAAGGAAGGGCTTGGGCGACTCAAATAATTCGGGCAATTGGGTAACATTGAAGGCACTGCTCCAGCAGACAGTCGTGGATGTTTTAATGGAAGAGTGATTTTTTTGTCCATCATCGCCATAGACGACTGAATTCTTCTCAATCTCCCAGGATTGAAAATGCAATTCACAAACCTGAAAGTAAACAATGATGAACATTTTCCAAATACAAAATATGCCTTTGACTTCACTCTTCAATTAACATATATGCAGAATCCACCATGTTGCTTGTTTTGACGACAATTTTTGCTTGAAGAGTTAAGTTTTTAAAATGATAGGAATCAAATTCAATTTATTTAAGCCAATGCTCTGTCATACATGACATCTAAGTCAAGTGATTCATCGTCAAGCATACCATCAAGATCTGGTTTCTTATTTCTTGCACATTTTGGTGTAATATTTTTAATTTGCCTAGTTTATCTACAAAATTACCGGAGCCTAGCTCATACCTAAAAAATCCACAAACCTTTCAGCCTACTTCCCCATTCTGCTAGAAGAGCCTATTGTCATTTGTTGAATATCATTTTGGGGTGGTTCTGTCACTGCAGATGAGTTCCCTTTCCACTCCAAATGGATCACATTCTTTTGTTGATTTGAAAGATTTTTCGTTATTAGTTCTGACACTATTTCACTTAATTTTGCCTTCGCTTAGTTGTTCATATGCATTCTATTTCTGGTGAAATCACTCCTATCTAAATGAACATTTATCACGAGAGTGTTTATGAATCCTTAGTTTCTTCTCCAACTTTCTAATGAACCTTTCGACTTCTTTATTCACACACGACCACTTCACCAAATCATGCGTATGTGAGGCTTTTATGATTAAAAAGTTTGTTTGCTCATTGTTTTTCACAACGTTTACTAAATTATTTACACCATCTGTACAGGTTCTTCCTATATCGTTAGTACCAGTAAATACCACAATCGTATCAGTCTTTTTTTATGTGTTTAATGTTTGTGTCGACTACGTTTTTCGCCCTTCCGCCAGGTTTTACAAACCAACTAACTTCAAAATTTTCACACATACTTTTTATTTTGGGTAAGGCCACGCGCATGACCATCGCCTAGCACAGTTATTTTGCTCTGTTTTGTTTTCTTTAACCATTTCTGATCTTTGTTCCCTTGTATTTTAAATTGATTTTGCACTTCAATATTGGCGTCATTTTCAGTGTCTGCTAACGTGTTTCCTGTAGGCAGTATATATTTGTTAATTATCACAGGAATTTCTGCATTGGTTTTCCTTTGCCTCTTCTATTCTTCTCTGTAATTCACTCATTACCCCGTCTTTCGCAACTAGGCTGTTTCCTCCCGCAAGTTACATTGTTCCTTACAAATATTAATAATTGCTTTCAAAGATAACACTTCTTCTTGCACTTTACGTAGTTCCTCCGTTGTTTCAACATAACATTTGCTCTTGTTTGCATTTATTTAATCAGTATTTCTATTTAATACGGGAGCGATAGTACTCACTACATCCGTACATGACGCCATCTCACAGAATCCTTACATAATATTAATAATAATTATTATTATTATTACAATTATTGTTATTAATAATAATAATAATATTAATAGTACTTCCTCCCTGTTTTCATAATCTTCACTGCTTTCCGCAATTCGTCTGTCGTAAAGTAAAGTCATCAACTCTCTAATAGCTCGCTTTATCCACTGTGGGTCATTCAGGTAAGATATTTTGGAATCCATCCGAAACTTTTTCGTCACTATCTTAATACACCATACCCCAAGGTTCATAATCAATTTGCCTTAGGAGTACCTTCCAACTTCTACTTTTCCTCCTTTAAATTTCTTTTTTAAGTCGCTTACGCTGCGCTTTATATTGCTATTTAAGGTATAGGTCGGTCCTGGCTCTTGTCGCCATTCTTCTAGCCCTAATGCTGCTCTTACGTACTTCTGCTATTTCTGAGGTCCACCAGTACATTTGTTGTTTATTTCTGCGGCCACTGCTTCTTTGCATAGACGTGTCACACACTGCTGTCACTATTTCTTCCGTTGTCTTTACATCCTCGAATGTTTCCGCTTTATTTATTTAACCCATGCTTGCCAGTAACCTGGATTCTTGCAAAAAGCGTTTTGCCTTATCCTCATCAAGTTTTTTGGTATTCCAAGATGGCCCTCTTTTGTATCTCGCTTTACCATATTGTGGTTCCTCTGATACTACGGCATACCCTATATATTGGTGGTCACTCACGGTTTCCTCATCCAAGACCACCCAGTCCGTGATTCCCTTAGCCAGTTTGGAAGTACTTATTGTCAAATCCAGTATAGACGAAGTATCTCCCCGTTGGAAAGTGTTTTCATTGCCAGAGTTTAGAAAGATGAGATCGTTTCTTGCTACAAACTCGCATATAATAGCTCCTCTTGTGTTGGAGCGCGTCTCCCCCCATTCCGACGATTTACCATTGAAATCACCTAACAAAACCTCACCTTTTGCTGTTTCCTGACTTGCCTTCAATTCGTCGATGTCTTTTTAAAATTTCTCTAATGTGTCATTCGGAGAAAAGTAACAGCTATAAGTTCTCTTATTATTCACATCAACCCATACTTCGTCGTCTTGTATTTATTAATACTTAGCTTCCTATTATGGATTATTATATCCGCTCTTCCTGTGGAATCTCGATACAACGTATTCTCGCAGTAAGGTTGCTCACTAGTATGTAACACATCCACTTCCCTCTCTGCAGCATCAAGTCCCGCGCCTGCTTACTCCTCCCCAGGTTAATCTGAAGGAGTCGAAGCCTACTTGATATTTTGTTTTCTTTTGAACCGCCGCTATAAGGAGGCACATTTGTTACTTCCTAACAGATGTTGATCTTTTCTTTGTCTTTCCATAGAACACATTGTTCTCTTGTGGTACAGTTCTTAACATGTCCGGTTCTACCACATCTGTAACATACTTTGCTACGATCAGGACCTTTGCTATCCGTTGAAATATGTCCAAAGTCTAGACATCTATAACATCTTGTTATCTGGAGTT